TTTCCTGTTTTAGGGGATTTGAAGTGCAACACTTATTTCCTATGATGCTTCCCTAACCACTGTCAGATGGGGTGCTCTGAATCTTCCCTGTTGCCTCTCTTCTTCTCTTCATGAATCACTCAAATGCTCATTAAGAGCAAGTGAAAGTGACTATAGTCTAGTGATTAAGGCACTCCCCTGAGAGGTAGGAGACCTTGACTTAAACCTATACTCTGATTCAGGAAGACAGTGGATCTGAACTAAAGCCTCCTGTCTTTTAGAAGAGTGCCTTAAGTATTAGTCTCTGGAGTCTAGACATTTCCAAAACATTTCTTTGTTGCAGTTGCAACTTCAGCTATCTCTATGGTCAACATAAGTTGAAATGTAAATGTCTAGGCCTATACATGAGCTATTAACTGAAACAACAGCAGCTTCATGTGGAGTGAAAATTCATAGCAATTGGCAGTAATTTGTAGTACCTGCTGTAACGTAATCCGTAACTGTCACCTTGTTTACCAGGGTATGATACAGTATATGAATATTGGGTTATGCCAGGGCTTGTTATATAGCTCTTCTTTAGTAGCTTTGCTATCCTTTTCCACAGAGGTTATCACTTCAGTTATTTGAGGTTTGTGCTATGCTCTGGAAATGTAAAGCCCTATCAAAGCAAGACATATTATTGTTATTAATTCCTAGGGAATATATTTTTCACACCTGTCCCTGCTCTGAGAGTTTTATTTCCTGGGATACCTTGGTCTGTTTCTTCAGCTAATTCCTTCTGAAGGACTTTACATTCCGCTTGAGTTTAAACTGTTTTTTTAATAATATAATCCAAGTTATGGACTAGTGTTTGAAGCTTCACAATCAGCAACCTAAATGATGGATGTCACCCTTGTAGAGCTTTACTGTAGAGGGTGTTTTTCCCCCTTTTTCTTTCATTCTGTCCTCTGTTCCTTAATGTCAGTGAAGAAAACTCTGCTTTCTCTAACATTAATCATATCTGACATGCAGTTGGCAAGTGTAGCCAATTAAAATCTATCTTGTACTGGTCTAGGTTAACCTCATCATATGTGTGAACTGTAAAAAAAGATATCTTTCATTCCCAATTTTAACACTTCAACAGCATGTTTTCTATTGATCCAATAATGTATCTGACGGATAGCAATATCACTGCTGATACTCAGTTAACAACGGATCATACAACCATAATTTTTCTTCACACAGGCACATGATGTGATCTAGCTAAACCAGAAGGTGGCCTCATCACCATTCCTTCAAAGTAGAGGGAGAATATAATTTCGGAAGAACAGTCCCATGCAGTAATTTGCAAAAATAGCCTAGGCTAACTGCTAACACAATAGCTCTCATTCCAGAGTCAACATACAACAACGCTATGAAGCTAGCTTCTCAGCAGAATCTATTATCCATACAGGCAGTATGTCTTTAACAGGGAAACCACCAATTTCCTGGTAGAAATTAGGAATGTACATCTATTATTCAGTTTCGCCCAGAGGAAACATGCCCCCCTATGGGAGAAAGATCCTCCAGGGTAACACCTGGAAGATCTCCCCTGCAAGAGAGTTTCCCTTACAAGAATGAATGCCTGTACATTTGACAACTCTGTGATCAGGAATTGAGCAGCAGCTTCCCCTGTGCCTTTCCCAGAGTGTGAGCCTTTGCCCCTTTGCTCCACTCCTGCAGACCAGGAGTGAAGTGAAGGTGCAGCCACATGCTGTTCCCTGCCTGCTCCCCAGAACAGAGGGAGGGAGCCGAGCAGCATGACAAGGCTCCCCGCATTTCCTCAGACTCTGATGACCCGGGTCTGGGGAAGGCGTGGGGAGTCTTTCCCAACCACTCCATTCTCCTGCTCAGGACTGTGAGGCTGCAAGCTGAATGCTTGTACTGTTCCCTCTCAGAAATTTCTCATAATTTGGCTCTGAATCATATAATCTATATAGTATTATATGAAAACCTAAAATGTTGAGCTTCTGCCATAACTTCCCAGAATGTCAGATATTTATTTAAAAAGTGGTGCTACTGCTACAGTATATTATATTTAGTATAAGTTATCAATTATCATAGGCAACTAGAGCTGGAAGGGATCTCACAAGGTCATCTAATCCAGTCCCTGGCTCAGGGTAGGGTCATTCTTGACTAAACCATTCTGGCCAAGGGTTTGTCTAATCTCTTCTTGAAAACTTCCAAGGATGGAAATTCCACAATTTCTCTAGGTAGTTTTTTCCCATGCTTGATTACTCTCATAGTCAGAAAGTTCTTCCTAGTCTCCAACCTATATTTCCCCTATTGCATCTTGAAACCATTGTCCATTGTTCTGTCCTCTAGAGCCTCAGAGAAAAGGCCCTCTCCATCCTCTTTATAATTCCCTTCAAGTTTTTGAAGACTGTTATCAAATCCCTCTTCAGTGTTTTTTTCTTCACACTAAATAACCCTAGTTCTTTTAGTCTTTCCTCATAAATCTTGCTTCCCAGAACCATAATCACATCTCCCCCGCCTGCTACTGGACTCTTTCTGAACTGTCCATATCTTTCTTGAAGTGTATGGCCCCAAACTGGACACAATACTCCAGATGAAGCCTTGCCAGATGAGGCTGAATACAGTGGAGGAATTGCCTCCATTGATTTTCAGGTGACACTTCTATTAATACAACCCAATATGCTGTTGGGTTGTTTTTGGCGGGGGGCTTGTTTTTTGTTTTGTTTTTTTGTAATATGATCACACTGTTGGCTCATATTCAGCTTATGGTCTACTGTAACCCCCAGGTCCTTCTCTGCAGTACTGCAGTGAAGCCACTCATTTCCCAGATTGTATCCAAGTATTCTGTCCCAAGTACAGAACTTTGCATTTGTCCTTTCTGAATCTCATCTGAGTTTTCAATAAAAAAAATCTAAGAAATGTCATTTTAAAAAGCATTTTATAGTCTGAAAAATTTCATTTATCCTTAGTTTTTAGAGTACTACAAACATGGCATGAATGGTAGAGTCTAATATAATATATAACATGGCAAATAATGTCATGTTATGGAAAGCTACTTTATTTTATTTTTAAAACCAATAAAAACTTATATTTACCACAAATTGAATGATCTAATCTTTTCTAGATCAAATTCTTCCCTTTTGTGCTTTAGTGAAACTGTTTGATACTTTAATAATAATGATAATAATAAAATAAGAGACACATGTAGGGCATGTCTACACACGCCTCTTACTGCGCATTTGGTACTGTGCAGTCATTTAGTACTTGCCTTAGCAAGTACTAAATGACTGCATAGTACCCACCATCACTGCGGTCCCAGTATCTCATGGTTATTTTTAGCGTAGTGGTGAGCTACAGTGTTGTAGCTTGTTGCTATAGCGATTGTAGCATCGGCATCACGGTTTGTGTCTGACACTACATCGCTGTAGCAATGAACTACATCACTGGAGCTCATTACTTCACTGACACAGCATCCCATGTAGACATGCCCATTGTATGCTAATTGCTAGTATCGTAGCTCTCCCCACCCCCTTTGTATTACCTGAAATAATTTTTCTACTGATTTTTTTCCTGGAATATTTTTTTATTATGGTATGACTTGACATAATAGCATGTGTTACATTATGCTTGGCTGTGACTGACATGCCATTAAATATTGCAGCAATTGTAGAAATACTTATTTTTTCCTCTCTAATTATTCTATTGAACACCCCAGTGCTATAATTATGAATGCACTAAAATCTGATTGTATTAGATCAGATTTGAACAAAGCACAGTCACTATAGCCCTGCTTTTTTACTGAATGGATTGAACTTATTCACCTTTGGTTCCCAGAATATGCTCTTTTTATTAACTCTAAGTGGAGTAGGCATCAGTCTACTTACCCAGCTTGCCACTTGACTTGGTAACAATGTACAAAATGCTTTAAGCTAAAGCATAATTTAGGCTGTTAAAATTAGGTTCCTTATCATTCCCAAGTACCCAGATCCCCACCTCTCTCTATTATATTAAGCCATTATATATAAACTGTGGATTGACCTAAAGTACAAAGACAAGGTATTTTTGCTACTCTTAGATGTAGGCTTCTTATACAAAAAATACTTGAGTTTTTATGATAACATTTATTCGTTTACTTATTTATTTACAATTACATTTGTGAGCTCCCTAGTCAGGGATCATAGAACTTGATAAAGTGAGGAGAGAGAAAATCATTATTTTAAGAGAGACCTTGATTTTTTATGCAAGTTCTTAGGAAAAGTGTACTGTTTGTGTGATCATGAATCAATTTCATAATCCTTCCCATTTTCATAAAATGGTTAATGATCACACTGAAAAGGCAAGTGCCCTTTCTGAGTGTTTTATCTTGACTCAGTAGATCAGCTTTAATGTATTAGCCCAGTGATATGATGAAACTATTAGGTCCACAGAATTTTTGGTCCAAGTTTGCAAATATACATGTACATATATAAAATGAACAACTGAGTGTACAAATAGTACATTTCCAAAATATGAGTCATGGATGTCTGGCTGACACCAAACTTAGCCAGTTTTAATATGGGCCCCATGTAACTCTAGTTTATTTAATGAAAAGCAGGAGTATTATTATAATTTTATAATTATTATAATTTGTTTGTAATATTATACAAGGCAAGTAGAGATGGAAGATCAATTGGCAAAATTCCAGTCTGGTTCAGATTTTGAGCATCACGAAGTAATGGTATGGTAAGATGTAAGTGTTTGTTTTGATCTTTCATAAAGATAGTGATATTTGGCTCTTGTTATGAGTTCAGATTCACATATGGTAGAGTACACCTCTGGCTTTGGTTCATTAGGAATTAATTAACAATCCAGAGATATTAAGGAAAGTTGATATTAACTGATCATGTAACTTGAGTGAGATCAGTGATGTATTTGGTATATGGTATTTGTTTAAATTGATAGTCTCCTGAAGTGCTACCTAGTTACAGAAACTAGGTAGAAAAAAGATCTCTTTATTCATTGTCTGTTTTCTTTTTCTTTTTCTACAGACTGTCAGAGACACAATGATCATGCACAATAACAGTACAATCTCCCCCTTGGTTTCAAATGTGAGCTCCTTCTGGAACAGAGATACCCAAGGACCAGGACCTGTTGATGATACAACATTATTCACTGGCAGCTATGACTTCACTCAAAAAAACGAGAGTTTCCCCTTCACCTCTGTAGAAGCAACCAATGCATCCCTTAATGAAACAGGCAAAGACCCTCTTGGCGGACATACTGTGTGGCAAGTAGTTTTGATTGCTTTTCTCACTGGTATCTTGGCACTGGTGACAATCATAGGAAACATTCTAGTGATTGCAGCATTTAAAGTTAACAAACAACTGAAAACAGTCAACAATTATTTCCTGCTCAGCCTTGCTTGTGCCGATTTGATCATTGGTGTTATTTCCATGAACCTTTCCACCACATATATCATCATGGGCCAATGGGCTTTGGGGAACTTGGCCTGCGATCTTTGGCTCTCCATTGACTATGTAGCCAGCAATGCCTCTGTCATGAATCTCCTTGTCATAAGTTTTGACAGGTATTTTTCCATCACTAGGCCACTTACATACAGAGCTAAACGAACAACAAAAAGGGCTGGAGTGATGATTGGCTTAGCATGGGTCATCTCATTCATTCTTTGGGCCCCTGCCATCTTGTTCTGGCAGTATTTTGTTGGGAAAAGGACTGTGCCTCCCAATGAATGTTTTATCCAGTTTTTAAGTGTACCTATCATCACTTTTGGCACCGCCATAGCTGCCTTTTATTTGCCGGTCACCATTATGAGTATTTTGTACTGGAGGATCTACAAGGAGACAGAGAAGCGCACCAAAGAGTTAGCAGGGCTACAAGCCTCTGGCACCGAAGCAGAGGCAGTGCAGTTTGTCCACCAAACCGGCAGTTCCAGAAGCTGCAGCAGCTATGAGCTGCAGCAGCAAAGCCTGAAGCACTCCAACAGAAGGAAATTCAGACGCTGCCACTTCTGGCTCACAGCAAAGAGCTGGAAACCCAGCGCAGATCCAGGGGATCAGGAGCACAGCAGTAGTGACAGCTGGAACAACAATGACGCTGCCGCCTCTCTTGAAAACTCTGCCTCCTCTGATGAAGAAGACATTGCCTCGGAGACGAGAGCCATTTATTCCATTGTGCTGAAGCTTCCTGGTCACAGTGCCATCCTCAACTCCACAAAGCTACCCTCCTCAGAAGATTTGCACGTGTCAGGGGATGAACTACAGAAGTCTGACACTGAATCAAAGGAGAGGAAACATAAAAAGCTGCATGCTCAGAAGAGTGTGGAGGATGAGGGGATTTTCCAGAAGAGTTTTTCTAAGCTTCCAGTTCAACCAGGGTCAGTAGCAGAAACAAACAAGACTGCTGATGGCATTTCATCTGTGGCTACGACACCTGCAGCCCTGCCTCTGTCGTTTAAGGAAGCCACTCTGGCAAAAAAGTTTGCCTTGAAGACCAGAAGTCAGATCACCAAGCGAAAACGAATGTCACTTATTAAAGAGAAGAAAGCAGCACAGACACTCAGTGCCATTTTGTTTGCCTTCATTATCACCTGGACCCCATATAATATCATGGTTCTGGTGAACACCTTTTGTGAGGACTGTATCCCAAAGACATTTTGGAACCTGGGGTATTGGCTTTGTTACATCAACAGCACAGTGAACCCTATGTGCTACGCACTGTGTAACAAAACTTTCAGAACCACCTTCAAGATGTTACTGCTGTGCCAGTGTGACAAACGGAAACGACGCAAACAGCAGTATCAGCAGAGGCAGTCAGTCATTTTTCATAAGCGGATCCCTCGGGAGGCTTCATAGAATAGTATTTTTTAACAAATGAAAAAATATAGATATATGTGTGTGTGTATATATATATATATCGACAGCAAAGGGAGAATGGATTTGGGAGGGAGGGCGGTTCCAGAGTGCTGATGAAAATGTTTGATCATCATGAAAAACATGAAAGCAGCTGCCAGCTTATGTTTCCTTTTAATAAATCCAGTTTAGTATGAAAATCAAATCTGAATTCAGCAAAAACAAATACACTTCAAGGTTTTTATTAAGGAAATGAAAGACTTAATAAAGTTTTCCTACAATGTTACAAGTTGTATAGCAATTATAAACTCATTACTGATCTGCCCAGGTTTTTGATTGTAATCAACTCTGGGATCTCAGGTAAGCACATCTAGCTAGACCAACTGTTTTCCAAGGAATCCAACAAGTTTCAAGTTAAGTCACATCTGGACACAGCAAGCTAAACATGAGTATGAAATTATTTAAAACACTGTATAGGTTGCAAAACTACTTCTTGTTGTCCTGGTTGAGCTTCCTTGTGTTCTCCTCTTTCGGTGTATTGTTAATTGTAGCCCTGAGTCTTAAACCTTATTCAGTACCTATTTTTGCAGCTCATGTTGTGTGTGTGTGTGTGTGTGTGTGTGCGCGCACGCGTGTGTGTTCACGTGTATGTATGTGTGTACACGTGAGAGAGAGTACACAATGTACACTCACAGTCACATAATATATATTTAGACACACACAGACATATACCAGGAAAGAAGTGATTTATCAGTGTAGGTCTTTACATGGCTCCCATCATTGTGGTATATGAGTGAAATAAATTATTTGGCAAATTATTCTCCAAGTGTAGATTTATTTCATTATTTTCTACTTGTCATTCTAATTTCTCTTTAAAACCCAGTGCAATTCACAGAGATTTGGAATGGAGCTGGCTGAACTGCACTGTGAGCTCAGTACAGAATTTTCCCATGTGCACATATCAACCTAAACTTTAATACAGAGATACAGCCTGATAAAACTACAGGTAGGTGTATACAGTGCTGCATCTGAGTCCAAGCACTCATACCTCACCAGAAGAATTGTAGGTAGCGAAGCCTAGCTACTAAACTCAAGGTAGAGAGCATGGGATTCAGGGATTCATAGTTTTCCCAGACTGAATGGCTGTATTTAAAGTGCAGGGACTTGTGATTTTCTCTATTTCATACAAACTTAGAGGGGGCCTTGCGCTTGTACAGACTGTTAGCATCACCTCCAGATGCAAGAGGTTTGTGTAGAAGAAATCTTGGACTGTTTTGAAACTGAAGGACATTGATTCAAACATGTTTTTTTTCACAATCTGTTTTAAACATTATCAAGATAAATGCATCCAATTATGTTCAACCCTGGGTTATTCCATGTAACAAAAAATAGTGGCAATCACCAACTTAAAACCTGGCACTTTCTGATAAAGAAAAATTTTAAAAGGGCTTTAATATTTATAGCTTAGACATGACCAGTGTTTCCTGGTATTTATGATGTGATCTACACCAAACAGTGTGTACTTTATAAAAGTCAGAGATCCCCTGAGGAAAGAACTGTACTTTTACATATTGTTCCAAATCTGATTTAGTTACATGTTGAAAGACAAATTTGTATTTTGTATTATCCTTTGAGCTGACCAAAACTTTTTTTTTTTTTTTTTGCTCGCAGTCTTATTTTGCTGAAAATAAAATATAAAAATAAGAAAAGAAACCCCTTCCTTTTTAAAGGGGCATCAGTGTTGTGAACACAGAACCAGTGTAAAAGCTGCTTTTGTATTCAGTGTGAGATGGTGTTTACAGATGATTTTGACAATAGTGGAAGTATATTAAATGGTGTCTGTGTATCTGAACTATTTAATTTTGTGTTATGTTTATATGAAGAAATATTTATACATATTTCACCAAATGTTTATTTAATGTTGATAAGTATTGCTCTTCAGTCTTCAACTGTAGTATCCTTTTAAAGTGATTTATAAAGGTGTGCTTGAGCAATGAATAGACTATATCAAGATTTTATGGCACTAAACCAAGTGTTCATATTCCTGACATACATTGGTCCTTTCTTTGTATGAGTTCTATTAAAATGCCAATCTAAAACAAAGTTTGCAAGCTATGCTTTAGCTTTAATAAAAACTAAGAAAAAGTAGATTTTGAGCTGTATGTGACAGTCACATTTAATGGCGGAGAAGACAATAACTGATGAATCAGCTCTTTTAGGCACATACAACCAAAGATTTATTTTAAGAGCCCCTAGTGTGTCTTCTAATATTCATAGAAAATTACAGAACTTTATTCTACAGAACTGAGACACAAAGAAATGAGTATCTAAAATTCATTTTGTTACTCAAGTTGACCTAATGTTTTAACATATATATATCTATATATCTAGATATATAGATATATAGATGTTGCCATATTGTTATCTTCTGATATCTAAATAGTGCCCTCCATACACAAAATGTGAGAGCCAGGACGGAAACTAGAGTTCAGCAAGAGAATCTATGGCATATTGTTACGTGGAAAATATTTTTTTAACACAGCTAAGCTTCTTCTGAAAACAACTGTCGGCATTGTTTACATGATAGGAAGAGTTAAAACCTTTGGATTGTTTTCAGAGAAAAAATAAACAATCTGGTTTTTGATGTGTGAACAGGCTTGAAAATGTTATTTGCAGACATAGAAAATTATGTATGTATACACATATTGTAGCATAGATTAATTTAGTTTTCTATTTACTTAATGGAACTTGCACTATAAAATATTCAAAATTTGGCTTATTTGAAAATACAATTCTAAACAAATGTAATCAAATTAATATATATTTTGCTTGTGTTTATGTATTTGCATTTTATACATATGCACACCCAGGGATTACATATACATGCACAAACATAGATGTTGCTTCTATGCATATACACACACATAATTACATGTGTGGACAAGAAAGGAAAAAGCAATACACGTGGTATAATCTAACACAGCATTTCTTCTAACAAAACAAAGCTGCAGTAATGCCTCAGATATGATGGAAGGAAGGGGAGTCACAAATGCTGTAAGACTGTCATTGGGTGCAGACAAGGAGCTCCATTGTATGAACCCTCTTCACATCAACAGTGTAAGTTGGACAGCAGGCCTTCTTTTAGACCCACTGCTGCTCCCATTAACTTCAGCTTTGCAGAATTGGACCCCATTAGAGTAGGTTCATTTGCACCCAGTAGGGACTTTTAGATCACTGAATAAATTGTATAAGATGGGCCCCCAGAACAGTATCAAAATGCTAGATTCTGTAAAGCTCTCTCTAAGATAACTGCACATTCAGTAACCCCTGCTCTTGCATGTAGTGGGCTTGTGTAAATTATTTGAATTATAGAAATTTGATTATTTTATATAACTTCAGGCTCTATAAAAAATATGCTTATGCCTGACCCAGCAAGCCAGCACAAACTATAATAGTGAAAGAAGCTCTTTTCTTTTGTTATGAACTTCTTGTCATGGCTATCTGGTAAAATTAGATTGTGGGTCTACTTCTGTACTTCTCATTGTCCTAATATAAAGAAATACATAGAAATGCATAAATTGTCTGATTTTTCAAAGGTGCTGAGCACCTTCAGTTCCCATTTCCTTCACTGGGATTTATGGTTACTAAGTATTCTGAAATATCAGATCATATAAGGGGACCTAACAGTTCTGTGAGACCAAAAAATACAGCCAAATGGATGTGCTGAGCAATTTCATCTTACTCGTCTGTTATCCATGACCTTGCTAAAAAATTTTTTTCCCTTTTCTGAGACATTGCATGTTGTTGCTTTACTGTAAAAATGGCCAGAAGAAAGCTTGGCCCATTATCAATCTTGTGTATAGAACAAATGAAAGTATGTCTCAAAGTTGACTCACTTCTCCTGTACAGACAGCAAACATCAAAGCAAAAAGGAAATCTATTTTTATCTCTTTCTTGGCTGACAATGCCAGTAGTTTCAAATATATACACATAATTATACAATATGCACATATGGTAGAGATATCTATGTGATATTGTGCGAAGATTTGTGATAAATTGCATCTAGCAAGCACTCTTGACTAGCTCATTTTCCATTTGATCTTTCATAGATTTCATAGACATTGGGCTGGAAGGGACCCCTTAGGATCATTGAGTCCAACCCCCAAGCTTTAGTCCAGCTATCCTAGGATTTTTGTTAGGATATTCAGAAAGACTTACTACCCTGAAAAATCTGTAATATCTGTTTCTAAACATGTTTTTGTTTTTGTTTAATACATTGATAAATGATCTGGAAAGAAAGGAACAGTGTGGTGGCCAAGTTTGCAGATGACAATTATTCAGGGTGGTAAAAACCAAGAACTACAGAAGTATCTTGCAAAATTGAGTGAAATGGGCAACAAAATGGCAGATTAAATTCAACTTTGATAAGGTAAAATGATATATATGGGAAAAAATAACCCAAAATATACACACACAGTGATGGACTTTATGTCAGCTGTTACCTCACAGAAAAGGAATCTTGAATGCATTGTGGGTAGTTCATTAAAGACATCCATTCAGTGTTCAGCAGCAGTGAAAAAGGCAAACAAAATGTTAAGTATTATTAAGAAAGCAATCCTAAACAAAGCAGTATCATTCTTCTCCTTTTATAAATCTGTGGTTCACCCACACCTTGAAGATTGTGTGCAGTTTTGGTCCCCACATCTCAAAAAGGGTATAGAAGAAAAAGGAAAGGTACAGAGAAGTGCAACAAAGATGATCAGACATATGGAGGGGTTTCCATATGGGGAGGGATTACCAGTAAATAGGCTAAGACTTTTCAGTTTAGAAAAGAGACATTTGACTCAATGATATCTCCTGGCAATGAGTCTGATACTTGAGATAAGGGTTGTGTGTACAAGCATATCTTTTTGTCACTTTCAGATTTAACCCAATTCATGATCCTCAAGTGACCCTTTGCTTTTGTGTTATGAGACTGGATGAACAGAAGTTCCTGATCCACCTTCTCTGTACCATTCATTTAATTTCTAAGCATTTATGGCATACTTTCCTCTTTCCCTCCTCTCTGTGGTAAGCAATTTCACTCTTTTTCAGTTTCTGCTTGCCATGTATTCTAGTGTATTACTAGAGAGAAAAGATTTCCAGCTTATCAGTATAACTTCACTTCACTCACATCTAGGCATGGTAGATCCTGCAATATTGAATGTTGAGGTCTTTTTATTTATTTATTTTTCTTGACTACAGAAAAGTTATTGTAGCCATTTATAAACACGCTTCCTTTTTTTTTAATGGTTGATATTTTCAGCTGCTTAGTGCTTTGAAATTGTTTGAATTAATCCTGGCAGAGATGGATTAGTGGGCAGAGTACAGGTAAAGAGTCAGAATAAATACTATTTTATCACATGACTATCCCAGGCAAATGTTGTGCAAAGGTGTGTTTATAGCTCTCTGGGTAATATATATTCTGCTAGTGTAAGTGCAGTGTAAGTATGAACTAAGCACTGCATATAAACATGTAGACACACAGTACCATTTATATGAAAGTATATGTAAAATTATACTGGGATTGTCAGCCTCAAAATTCATAGATTCATAGATTGTTAGGGGCTGGATGGGACCTTGCAGGTCATTGGGTCCAGCCCCCCACCCCTGCTCTAGGCAGGAAGACAACTGGGGTTAAGTGACCCCAGAGAGGTGACTATCCAGTCTCCTCTTGAAAACCTCCAGGGTAGGTGACTGCACCACCTCTAGAGGGAGTTTATTCCACAGTCTGGACACCCTGACCGTGAAGCAGTTTTTCCTGGTATGAAGCCTGACGTGGCCTTCCTGGAGTTTATATCCATTGGTCCTGGTCTTCCCTGGAGGTGCCCTACTAAACAGTTGTTCACCAAGCTCCTGATGCACTCCTCTGATACAGCA